TAGTAAAGAAGAGATGGCAGTAGAGCTTATACATTAAGAAAGACCTAAGAAACATACCTGCTAATCACAAGTGTGGACCTTATGGAATTCCAGGGTAAACAAACCAAATTGTAAAAATTACATTTATAAGATCATTAAAAATTTAAAGACTGAATTCTCTAACTATCAGAAACCCGTCTAATCAGCAAGAATGGATGCCAGAGATTCCTCTGTGCCTATAAGCCCATTAAGAATTTGCAGAAGTTCTTGGGATGGCGTGGGAATTTCCATGATACGTGGGATTTTGAAACCGTAGTTTCAAAATCTTACATCGAGGACCTTCCACCCCACAAACTCTAACACATGCATCAATCATCTGTCATTACCCTAAGTGACCACATAAATGATTTTATGAAATAGAGGCTCTGAACCCAAGAGGGTCAGACTGTACTCCTGACCCTGTCATTACTCATTATGTGACTAGCACTCATTTTTAAAAAATATTTATTTTTCAGTTTTCAGTGGACACATCTTTATTTTATTTTTATGTGGTGCTGAGGATCAAACCCAGCGCCCCGTGCATGCCAGGCGAGTGTGTTACCGCTGGAACCACATCCCCAGCCCCCGACAATGATTTGATTCTAACTCATCATGTAGTGAAGGGAGTTGGGTGGCCAGCAGTGAGCAGGCTGAAACTCATAGATGAGGCTGTAAGCATCGTGTCCTCTCTTGCCTTGACATTCCCAGAGAAGCATGTGAAGCAAGCCTCCAACGGAGCTGTAGGCAGAGAAGATAGATGCACTGAAGCTGAAGCGTTGGTGATCCAAGGGAGACAGCCTACTTCCTGTTTTTCTCCATGTTTACAGAGTTGGTTGTCTCTTTGGATCACAGCTCTCCAGAATGAAAACAGAGTTGTTCTGGTTCAATCAATATTTTGGGTTCAGCTGCAAATTGCCTGGCCTTGGATTCTAGCTGTTTAGGGGCTTTCTAGGAAATGGCAGTGACCTAGCACCTAAAGGCTTTAGGGTCCTAAGCCTGTGGGAAGTTAAATTTAGGCCACCCTCTCCCCTGGGGAAATGTCTTTGAACCTATGGGAGCTTGTCCCCTCATTCTAGGAGAGGTAGGCTGTCAGTCTATCTTGTTGCCAGGCAACCATGAGAGAGCTCCTAGGCCAGCATCATTTACATGTTCATTCCTCTTGTCTCCACATTAGATATCTACGTAGGTAATTTACTTAAAGTTGTCCATGTGTTCAGAACACAACATGTTTTCAGTCTCTAGCACGAGAGAGGAGCCAGAGATACAACGATGGACAAGGCCATACAGTACATGCAATTGTCCTCGGACTATGGCATCACCAAAGCTTCTATAAGTTTCTACTCTCTTCCCTAAGTTTCCCCTAATAGAGTGTCTTAAAGATCATCCCATTTTCTCTTTCTCTCTACATAACATTTCTTCTTCTCCAAAGTGAACAGCTGGAATTGACAGATTCTTGGGATCTTTTGAGAGCAGAAATTTTTATACGTGGATGCTATGATTGTTGCATTGCATGAGAAGACACCCGGAAAAGCTTTTCCTGTGGTAAACTGGACCCAGAAGGAGAGCCCTAGGTAGAGGACAAAAGGGAATTTCATTACCCTGACCCCGGAAGCTTCTAGTTGTTTCTAAAGTAGCTTCTGAAGGGATGGTGTTAACCTGATGCTCCCTAATCACGGATACACCAAAAACTAGGCAGTAGAACAGGTGAGATGCTGCAAAATACAGGATATAGGCTAGGATACAAGTGTTTCAAGACAATGTGACTTCTGAAAGATGATTTTAAGTGAGAGCACCTGGTAAAATAGGAAATTAGACCCTTCCTCATATCTCTATTTTTCCCTTCCTGGCTTTCATTGAGAAATATGTTCTGAAAGTGCTCTCAGCATATTGAAGCTGAGCTAAAGAGAATCAATGAATTATTTCTACTCCAATTAACTGTGACACGCATTTATATACTTTGGAATAAAAACAGTGCTGCCACACCACAGTATCCCAAAATGGTCAGCTCTTGACATCCCATTAGAGTTTATTCTATACCTTCCCCACACTCTTTCCTTCTAGAATGAACAACAATCTCTGTGACAAGTCTACTCTGCCCAGACAGGTTTCCCAAACTTCAATCTTAGAGAATGGCTGGGGATCTAGAATCTTTCCCCTCTTAAGACTTTAAAACACTGCAAACCACTCTACTCCTTCCCAGAGCTTTACATACTAAGGTAGGCCAAGATAGGTGCTGGAAAAGAGCAAGAAATACGTGTTCATTAAGTGGGTCTGCCCAGGCTCTCCATGAAGTACCAAAGATAATGAGTGTGAAGTGACTTTTTGACTTTCACTAGAGGAGCAGCAGACAGCTTCTCTTAACTAAAACATGAAATTGGGCAAACTCTGGCAACATCCAGTCACATCCTCTGGGGCCCTGCTGAAGGTGGTTGAGTAGAAGTGGCTTGGGAATGGAGAAAGGCACCGAGTTGGCAGAGGGGACTGACCCAGGCTGCAGAGCCGTGAGACTTCCTGCCACTGCTGTTGTGGGGGACCAGAGTCACACTTTAGTACAAGACTGTTTCCTTACAGCCTAAGAATCCTCTTCAGAAACTGGAAAGGGGCATTGATTTGTTCACACTCTCTCCTGCTCATCTGTGAGTTGACTTTATAATTAGTGGACTGCAAAGTAATCACATAGACCAGATAAGGGGTTGAAGTTAGGAAGGAATTCTTTGGAAAATACAGGTATTCCTCAAGTTGTGATAGGTTTCTGTTTCAATAAACCCATTGTAATAGATAAGATTCTAAGTAGAAATGAATTTAATATGCCTAACCAATGGAACCAAACACCATAGCCTAGCCTAGCCCGCTTTAAACATACTCAGAATGCTTACATTAGCCTACAGTGGGGCAAAATCATCTAAAAAAGCTAGTTATATAAAAAAATTGAATATCTCGCATAATTTCTTTAATACTGCACTGAAAGTGAAAAGCAGAATGAATGATTTTTTTAAAAGAGAGAGAGAGAGAGAGAGAGGGAGAGAGAGAGAGAATTTTAATATTTATTTTTTTAGTTTTCAGCAGACACAACATCTTTTTTTGTATGTGGTGCTGAGGATTGAACCCGGGCCGCACGCCTGCCAGGTGAGCGCGCTACCACTTGAGCCACATCCCCTGCCCAAGAATGAATGATTTTATGAGTCTGCTTTCTCACCATCATAAAGTCAAAAACTTCTAAATCAATTATAGGTAGTCAATTGTCTATTATTTTTTTGCTACAGGAGTAATTTTCTATAAATTCCTCTGATTCTAAATCCCAATTTTCCAGCATATCTGTCACGTTTCAGTGACAGATATGGGCTGTTTCAGTCAGACAGTGGAGACCCATTGTAGGTGTCTGACCTAGAAAGCAGACTGGGGATCTATCTCCTTTTAAGCCACAGGTTTTTTTTTATGTTATATTTTGGAGGCTAATGAATCAGAAATGAAATCTGATAATAGAGAAATCTCTAAGCTGGGAATGTGGGCCATACGCCCAGTCGGGTAACCTTGAAGAAATATTTGAAGTTCTTCTTCCACATATTCTTCTTCTCTGGATGGAACCTATCCTACTGAATGCACAGAGACGTCTGTATTTTCAAGGCCATAAATCAAGGTGGATACTCCCCTGTGAGCGAGAGGTAGAAGGCACAGAAGAGAAACTTGCTGCAACTTCAGAAAAACAAACAAGAGTGTAAAGCATTGAAGGGAAATGATGAAAACACAGACATGCTGTTGAAGCATTACTTTTATTTTGCTTACGGATCACTTTTGGTTTATCATATGTCATAGGCTTTTGCCAGTGTGAACTTTTACAGCGTGAGCTCTGTCCTGCATCTTTTTTTTTTTTTTTACCTCTACAAAATCCAGATTTTCTGTCAAAACTCGTCAAGGTTTTATTTTTCCTATTCATCCTTGACATTAACAAGTCTCGCTTTGCACAGTTTTAATATTTGTCCATTTGATTCTCTGTTGAGGGTTTCCTTTAGCAGTGTTTGTTATGACTGACGGTTTGCCTTTGACTTCACAGAGAATCCATGAGAAAAGTATGAGTAGTTCCTCTCTTTCCACGTTTCAGGATTGCTCTGTTGCTTGACTTATTGCATGGCTCCTTCTATCCTTCTTGCTTTTACGTCTTTGAATCTCTCATAGAACACAGAGTACATTGAGAGAGTCAAAAGACAGTTGGCGTGCCCTGAGCTGCTACATGCAATAGGAAGCAATAAGACACAAATATGTGTATGAAAAACGGAAATAGTTTGGCATCTCTGATGCCAGCTGACTGGCATATGATGCCGCAGTGAATTCAGAACAGTGTCCATCTACTGCCCTTCCTATTGGAGGTGTTCATTTGACTATAAGGCTCAGGCTGGCATCTGGAACCGACTCATCTATGAGGTGCTGTAAGCACAGTACTAGGGCCACAGTATTTTAATAAAATGTTCTAATTTCATTTAAAGTCAGAAAGGAAAATAAACAGCTTTTAGGTCACAGAAAAGGTTTTATAAATATATATGTGTGTATGTATACATACACATATACACACATATATGATTAATATATTCATCTTTATACTAATATGTCATTAAATATCATTTTAATAATATTTTAGAATATTTTGAAAATTTGACTTTCAATTTTTCAAAAAAGAGTCTACAAAGGTTAAAGATTCATGAAAATCAAAATACAGGCCTCTTGGCCTGAGGACATCAAACTGGTACAGCAGTACATACTACATACCTAAACTCTTGAGGACAAGTGTTTCCTAACATACAACAAAGCTGACTTATTTAAAAATATTCAAAATTATCTTGACCAGTATTTTCTCATTTTTCTTCTGCGGGGTGGGAGGGATTCAAATGTCAGACTGTCTTGTTCAAGGGCAGAGCCCTGCCTGCCCTGGCCCAGGTTGGCCCCAGTGCATGCAGTCACCATATTCTTAGTGGATGGTCCTGGCCCTGACAGACCCACCTCTGGCCAGTTTGGACATCTCGGAGAAGCTCTGTTTTTTAGGGGACTAACTGCCAGGTCCTCTGGGGTATCACTTTCATGTTTGTGCCTCAGCACCTCACACAGAAGCACTCAGCAAATATTTGAATGAACTGCCCTCACTATTGTGGTTAAGAGTGGGAGTTGATGTGGAATTACCTATTATTAGAAGTTGTATAGGGCGGAGGAGAGCTCAGTGGGAAATGTTTGCCTACATGTGCAAAGTCCTGGGTTCAATCCCTAGCCCCATTAAAAAAAAAAAATCCAAAATTTGTATATGTTGTTTCACAAAACTTCTTGTTTTCTCATAAAATGAGAACTGAAATAACATGATTTCTTTAGAAGACAGTGTATAAACAGGGCTCCATATAAATTTCTTCAGAGGAAACATACAGTGTTTCTCCCCCACGGTTTTCATTCACCGTTCACAACTTATCTTTCCTCCTGTCTCCTCTTTGGCATCTCTTCTCCCCATGTATGAAGTCAGGCATCTGAAAAAAAAATTTAAGGGCATCAGAGCCAATGGAAATACGTTCTTTGCCTGCTGATAGAGGTTACATCAGCTTCTTATAATTTCTCTCCTAAACAGAGAATGAGAACCGGATCATCTCTACCCACGTTTTCCAGAAACAACAGATCCATTCTTCTACCTCCCACCCTCTTTCTTTTTCTTCTTTTAAAGGGCACCCGATCGGAGTTCCCACCAGTTTAAGGCCTCTTTGTTCTCACTGAGGTGATGGCCAGAAGCCGTCCCTATGCAGAGGACTTCGCCAATGCGCACACATTCTTTCCATTTCAATGTCATTAAAAGCATTCTAGCTGCTTAACACTCCTCTGTTCTTCCAAATAGTTCTATACCATTGACGTGACCTCAAAGTTATTTACCGTTAGCCCTTTGATTACATCATAGCTTGGCAATTTGACCTTTTCTCCCACTAGTTGGAAGCAGGAGTTTTCTTTTATTCAATAAAATAAATATGTAGCTTTCCTTACAGGCAGGCAATAGGGAGACAGGGTGAGAGGGGGGTTATGCTATGATTAATGAACTGTTTGCTTTTGAGTCAAGATAAACTGGCCAATTTGGGTGTACTGTCAATCTGCAACCTGATGCTGAGCAAGCCATGGAAGCCCTTTGGAGCTGTGACATCCTGCGCTTCTCACCAGACGGGGCTGCTGAGATTCCTGGGAGCCAAAAAATATTTCAACAATAAGACAGGATATAATGTAAGTGCAGTCTTTCCCTCAGTGCTTTAGTATATTAAGAAATGGATTAGTCCCATTGTCAAATTCTACAAATACCTCCTCATACTGCTGAGCCACTTCAAGAAGATAGGCACACCACTTTGCAAAGTTCTCTTCCTACTGAATGATCCCACAGGAAAGACCCAGCCTTTGTCATTTAACAACCAACATATTTTGAAGATGTCCCAAGTTATCACACAAAGAACTTCCATATCATTTTCTTTTTTCAATATATATTTTATTTTTAGAGTCATTTTAAGATCACAGAACAATTAAGCCATATGTGGAGCGGGTTCTTGGGTATCCCACCCCGAGTAATGCATTTGTTACAACCAATGAACACTGGTGCATCACTATTGCTCAAGTGAACATTGGGATTCACTCTTGGTATTGTGCACTCTATAAATTTGGGCAGCTATTTCGTGATATGTATTCCTTTCCCATTGTAGTACCAAGCAGGATTATAGTTTCACAGCTTGTATCTGAAATGTCCCCCAAAAGTCTATGGGTTAAAGGCTCAGCCCTAGCCCTTGGCATTATTGGGAGGTAGGTGATGAAAACCTTTAGAGTGGAGCCCACCTGGAGGAAGTCAGGTCCTGGGGGGTTTGCTCTTGAAGGGAATATAGGAATCCCAAACCCTTTCTCTCTCTCTTTGCTTCTCCGCCACCATGAGGTGAACAGGCCTCCTCTGCCATGTACTCCCACCCTGATGGACTGTGCTGCCACAGCCCCAAAGCTGCAGGGCCAAGTGACCAGGCACTGAAACCTCCAAACCCATGAGCCAAACTAAGCCTTTCCTCCTTTTAAGTTGATTAGGTTTCCTCAGATATTTTGTTAAAGTGATGGAAGGCTAACACAGTCTTCAAAATCCTCTGTGGAATACCCATTTCCAGAAAATGAAGGAAATAAAATAGAACCAGAAAAGCAATGGACGAAGGGAAGCAAGGACCCCAAAGGATAAATAAAAGATATGCTGAAGGGGACTTGGGGGTTCAGAGAAAACTTATCCTGAGGAGGTGCCTTACCACCCCAAAATGCTCCTCCTAGAATAATTGATCCAGAATATGATGTTCTTTTACTTTTATTTTAATTTGCTGGTGGAAATTTTTTGAAATGTCTGTAACTAGTACATATGAGTGGATTCATTCTTCTTGTCCTTTTGAAATAAAATGCATATAGAAGCATCATGCAAATTCAATTTTAAAAAATCCTCTGTGCTATACCTATCCATTTCTTCCTCTTCCTTAACTCCTGGCAACCATTGATTCTTTTTTTTTTTTTAAAAACAGAGATTGTTTTTAGGAAAGTAGACACATTTTGATGGGAGAATGAGGGCAGTCTCAAGAGAGAGAGAGACACCTTTGGGCTAAAGCAAGAGCTTGCATTCAAGGGAAGCCATTTCCAGAGAGAGATGGCCAACCACTGATTTTTATATTTTCTTCATAGTTTGCCTTTTGGATTGTCATACAGTTGGAATCACACAGAAAATAACCTTTTCCAATTGGCATCTTTCACTTAAGAATATGCATTTAAGGTTTCTCCATGTCTTTTCTTGATTCCATCACTCATTTCTTTTTAGCTTTGAATAATATTCCATCATCTGGATGTGCCATAGTTTAATTATGTGTTCACTTACTGAAGAGCATCTTGGTTCATGTAAATTTAGGCAATTATCAATAAAGCATCTATAAACATCCATGCGCAGGTTTTGTGTAGATAGCGTCATACTTTTTTTACGTAATTTATGTATAATTTCATGTTATGAAGATATGCCATAAATTCTTCTGAGTAATGCACATTGAGATTATTCCCAGGCTTTGCCACTACCCATAGTGCTGTGATGCATAACCTTGTACACAGAGTATTTCATATGTGTGCAAGTGCATTCTTAAGATAAATTCCTGAGTGGAGAATTTCTGGGTCAAAGGGTAGGTGCATGTTATAATTTTGATATATATTTTCAAATTGACCTCCAGAGAGGTTGTAAAAATGTACCCTCCCACCAGCAGTGTGTGGTAGTGCCTGTTCCCCCCTAGCTTCTGGTCTTTCCTAAAGGGAACCCTTCTTCATCCATCCCTTCCCAGGGCGCTTGCTGAAAGTGCAGACCAAATGCCCATTAGCCCTACATAGCATCAATCATGTATGATTCCTCTTTTGTTCATTGATGATCTTAATCACAGATTAAAAGAACTCTGAGGGCAGAAGAAGTGTCCTTTTTGAAGTATTTTCTACAAATGCTCTTAAAACAAATATAGGTACCATAAAGATATTTCAAGAAAATCAAAAAAGTTTAAAAGACAAAATCCTAATCACTTACTAAGTAGTTTCCAATGAATGCAGAAGTGGCTGACCATGATGTAGAGGTCCTTTGAATATTTACTTTGATATCTACTTCTCTGAGAGAGATCCATAAGTTGCAGAAGAAAGGTACACTCTTCCCTTCTTGTCTTTTAGGAAGAAGCTATTTTCTAGATATAAATTTCTGAAAATTTAGCACTATTTGCTGAAAGGCCAGGCAAGCCAGAGTCTCTGCTACCATAGATATAGTAGAAAACTCACATTTACTATCTTTGTTAAACTGATTGTAGCAATGTGGTGTTAGTTCTACTTCTTCCGTTGTTAAGTTCCCGCTTCGAAATCTGCTCTTGTCATACTGGTACACTTCATGTAGCCTGAAAACTCTCCAAGCAACCTAGTCATGAAGCAAGGATTCCAGGCCCAGCCATTTCTCTGCCCAGGGGATGTTGGGCATATCCTTGTGTGGTAGGCTGTCTCCAAGATGATCCCCCAAACACTTCCACCCACTGGGATTCATGCCCTTGTGCAATTCCTCTTGAGTAGAACTGGATTTTTTTACTACATTTGAACAAGAAGAGCATGGCAGAAGTGATGAGATGACACTTCCAAGGGTAGGTTATAAATGACAGCAGTTCTGTTATGGATCATTCATCTCTCACTCTCTCTTGCATCAGTCCATCTGGGGAAAGCCAGTTTCCATGTCTGAAGCCTTGACCAACATCTTGACTATGACTTTTTCAGAGACCCTTAGTGAGAGGCATCCAGCTAAATGCCTCTTGAATTCCTGACCCTTGCAAATTGTGAGTTTATTATTCTGAACTGCAAAATTCTGAATATGATTTGCTATGCAGCCATACATTATTAACATACCTTACCACAAGAAACAGTCCTGCTCTCTAGAGAGAACACTACAGAGATGGTCAGGAGATTCAGATGGTCATCAACTCTGTGATAATTTTTAACAAATCATGTAATTCCATTTTTTTTCTTTTCTCAATTTAGAAAGCAACAAATTACCTGCTTCAAGAGATTACAAAATTTTGAGAGGAGAATAAAAAGCTCTTTCTTTTCTTCTCTATCCTAAGAGAGTTCATAGCTTCAAAAACAAACTTTTTTGCCACTAAGTTTCCTAGTACTAGAGCAAATAAATAGCAACTTCTTTTTTCAAATATTTTTTAAAGTTGTAAATGGACACAATACCTTTATTTATTTTTATGTGGTGCTGAGGATCGAACCCAGTGCCTCTTGCATGCTAGGCAAGCACTCTACCCCTGAACCACAAACCACAACCCCTGACCCCATGAAACTTCTTAATAATTGCTTCATGATGATCACTAAATTATGCTTCTTATACCTTTTAAGGATTCCTGAATTTAGTGAAAACATCTTGATGCCACTGATTAAACCACATGGTAGCAGTAGACTAATGAGTAAACCAACAATAGCCATATCAACAAGAAATTTTGAACATATTAGGGCTACTTATTGTGCTCCAAGCACAGCGGTAAAAAGTTGATATACTTTATTTAATTAAGTCCTCCAAATTTTAAGAGGTAGATTCTTATAGACTGTGCAAGATGCATACTATATTACCTCAGTAATGGAGACTTGATGCAAAAAAAATATATGAGAACACAAGGCAGAATGAGGGTTAACCCCATCAGCCACAGGATTATTTCTATATTCCCAAATTCTTCATGTTGCAAGATTACAGTTGCCAAAAAGTTGCTCAGCAGTCTTTGGGATGTTTACCTGAGCTCAAAGGTACTGCCTTCTCTTTGTTTTTCTGGAAACTAGTAATAATAAAGGGGAGGATTGGATTTGAGTTTGTATCCACCCAGTAGAGAGCACTTCAATTGGCCAAATGTCTTGCCTAACTGCCTCAGAGGCAGTCAGCTTACCTCATGCTCAATTCCTCAGTGGTAGCCTGCGTCCTATAAATTGCTCCTTG